ACGATAAACAATACTATCATACCCAGGCCTTGGAAGATCACATTACCACATACTGTATGGACAAAATCTTGGAGCTCCAACAGTCGCTGATACTTCCTTATCACTCGATCTTTCGCTTCCTCACAAAACCATACCATCTCTTCCCTACTTCTCGGCAGCTCTGGCGCACTGTCGGACTCAGCAGCAAGGCGGCGTAGAATCAGATCATCATCGTCACCACCACCAAAAAACCAACTCTGAGGTTCGTCGAAGATGCTCGCAATATCGTCCCCATCAAACTGGAATTTCAATGCGATCCGCTCAGGGTGTAGTAGATCCCCTGGCAGATGATAATCAACTCCCAATGCTTCTTGACAGGCCAAGGCTTCCGAGAGCGACTTGGAAATGTAAACTTGAATATATTTTCGAATGGAGTCGGGCGACATTTCCCCCCAATCATCCGATAGAAATCCAAACTGTAGCGAGAAGCCGTCCATCGACTTGGTATAGTCCACGTAAACCTGCGATATAGAAGAAAAATGTCGGATGCAGGGATCGAACCCGGGACTTCTTCTTACTTGAGGCACGCCAGCGATCCTCGCAGTGAGGCTCATGAACTGTACTTGCTTGGCAAGCGCCATCAAATTGCTAGCCTTGGCTACCGACATAACAGCGGCTGTAGCCGATGCCACCGACGATATTGAACGAGTAACGTCAGCTCGCATATACCTACAATTCCGGAGAAAATCACCCCATGGAAATCGCTCAACATACACAGGTTCCCATACAATAAGAATTGCCTATCAGAGAAAGCTCAATAAGTAAAACTTCCACCCTGTTTGAGACATAAGCCACCCTTGCCAAATGCTCTCCTCACGAGTATCCTCCTCCCGTACTATTACCACGGCGCCTCACACTCAATGTAGACGTAGTAAACGCGGTGGTGGTATCCATCTTGGGCATACACTGTAAAAGGTATAGTATGATGTTCCCCATAGAGGAGCTTCCGGAACCACACCCTCCCAGACGCCCACTGACGAGGTCTCATTTTGGAGAACTCGTTACTCATATCATTGGGTACAGTATTGTCTGGCGCTAGGATGATACAGCCAGGACACTCCGAACGGTCTAGCAAGGGAGTCACCTTAGCGGTCTGATCACAAACAAGCGCTTATACCATCCCTCTCGACAGCACCTCTTTATTACCATTGAAATATTATACGAAAAAATACAGGAGTAATGAGTAACATTAAACTGGAAAGGTGGCGTTAGAATGCAATGGTCGGTGCTGAGGCCCGTGAGCTTGGCAGCGCTAGAGACCTCCCGGCGAACCGTCAACACATACGTCTCTAGCCGTTCACCACCATCGGCTGATCTAAGTAGTCAACTACGAGTGAGCTCGCCAATGAGGTTTGGCTACTACTTGACTATTATCGGCAGTTGAGTATACCATGGCGGGCCAGGAGCGAGCTCAACGCTTCGGCTCATCGTGGTACTCAGGGAGGTGTTCTCGCAGCGCGACATGCAGACCTGATTGGAATCCAAGGTCCAAGCTGGAAAGATACAGAATAGGTCCACCTGGGCACCGGGATAGTCCTCGGCCGCAGCAACAACTTGTATCCTCTGAATATCCGCCGGTACTGTCAAGTCATATGAAGTCACTCCCGGCACCACCATCGGAGGGCTCAGCGTGAAGCCCTCGACAGTGAGGGAGGCCAGCCGAGTCGACCGGCTAGGCTTGGTCTCCACTCGAATAGAATATCTGTTGAACACGACTGACGCCAACGACTGCATCAACAGCTATTTGTGAAGAGATTCAAAATTAATACTTCCCGGCATGCTATCACAAAAGATACGGAGTATGTCTGATATGCTCATCCTCAGCCGCTACCACAGCTATTCGAGTTTTCCCAGTCTACTACTTTCTGCTGGAGGCCTCTACTCCTCCAACAACCTCAATTTCGACCACTTCCATATCCACCTTGGGCTCTAATCGATAGCTCAGCCAATGGTTGGAAGAAGTAGAGTCCGATCCAACCAGACGGACCCTCGACCGACCTCGACCAACTGCCAGGATGGTCACAGCTTCACCTTGGGCCGGTCGGATAATGTACCTCACACAGACAGCTACCCTACGAATATGTATAGGTACCAATTGTGGAAATTCTTATTGGTTTCTGTACACTTCTACCCGAATTTGTATGTGACCTCCTACAGTTAGTGAGGACAATTCTAGACTCGGCCGAGTAAAGCGAACATATATTCCAGCACGCGGTTCTATCAAGACCAGCAGCACCCATTCCTCACTGGCGGACAGCTCGACTGAACTCAGGTATTAAAGGGACAGGCTCATCAGTAAAGGAGGAGACCACTGAGAGACTCCCCAGCTGCGGGGACTCGACTGGGATGGTATGAACAGCTAGACGGTACCTGACTGCCGCTGGAGGAAGGACCTCAGTGAGGCCTCCTTACCGGCGGTCGTCGATCCATATGGTGTGCCGAGAGACTGTGTGATAACGAGAGGGTGATGGCCAGGCTAACTCGACGGCTGATCCGTTATGTATTACTGTCCCGGAGCGGCTGACGAACATTGATGGTATCACTTTCACGCGCCACGATATTCAGACCCTATCCAATTGTTAGACCATCGGAGCACTGGGGACGACCCTTCACCCTCTCCTCACGTTGTCAGAACATTGCCCTGCCCGAATTCGATCCGTATCATCTCAGGTAGCCTCTCCTCCTCGGCTGTCTGCCAACAGTCTATACGATGGTAGGTCCTATCAGTACATCTCCCATTGGATGACTTCAACACAGTACTCTCTTACAACTGAGTGTCAAAGCTGGACCGTCGTGGCCGGCATAAGCCTGCAGGTTCAACGCTCCACGAAATAGATGTTGGCCGCTCCCCACGCAGTGGATTCACCAGCAATACTACCAATAGTACTATTTGGCATCGAATCATGAGGAACCTCAGAAAAAACTCAAGAACATATTTAAAAATTTGACAAATATATGTCGCTTCGCTCCGCCCATAAAACATCGCTCCGCTCAAATATTGCTGCATGTTCAGCATTATTGCAACAATTGTGTTGTTGCCGCTTGAGGTAACCATTAGTCATATTCCACGATGTGCGAGGTGTCGCCGACACCGCGTCGATCCTATTGGCTCTCCAACCCTCTTGTTAGCCGCCCTAGGCCACAACGAAGCATCGTCCTACGTACCGAATCTTTCTCTTATCGCGATGATCGATTATGTCCCTTGGGGACAGCGTAACACAAAGCGCTGGGCAGTGATCTAATCTACTAGCTTCTGATAATCATCATTGTTGTTTATCTCATATAATGAGCGGTTCCTCTCTACCTTACATTGGAAGCAAGATCTCCCTCGTGTCAAACGCGGGCATCCGTTACGAGGGTATCCTCTACACCATCAACACCGAGGAGTCCACTATTGCCCTCCAGAACGTGAAGTCCTTCGGTACTGAGGGTCGCAAGACTCCCGACATTCCCGCCAGTGACGAGGTCTACGATTTTATCATTTTCCGTGGCTCTGATATCAAGGACTTGACCGTCCTAGAAGGTGCCAGCCAGAGGTCTGGTGTCCTCTCTGACCCCGCCATCGTGAGCATGCAGAAGAACGCCCCTACTGTCGCTACTAACGGTATGCAGCGTCAACGTGGCTACTACAATAACAACCGTGGTGGTTACGGTAAGGGTTATGGTAAGGGTTACAACAACTACGGTGGTAAGGGTTATGGCAAGGGCTACAACTACGGCTATCGTAATAGACATCAGAACAGGAACAGAAGGTCCGGTCCCTCTGGCCCTGTCGGTGAGCTTGTCCCCAACGAGAATCCTGAAGCTAAGGCCGAGGTGAAGGAGGAGTTTGATCTTGCTGCTTCCGCTGAGAAGTTGGAGAAGCCTGACGAGTCTGCCATCAGTACTGCTGGTACGACTGTTAGGACTGGCTATGACAAGACTAAGGGATTCTTTGATGATATCTCTTGTGATGCCTTGGATCGGAACGGTATCCCCTCGTTCGATCCTACTCGTCGTGAGAAGCTTCGTGAGGCCGACAAGGAGACTTTCGGTTCAATGGCTCTCCAGCGTAGGCCCTTTGGTGGCAATGTTAGGCGTATGAGACCCAACAACAGGAACAGAAGATATTAGATGGTGACATCCTTAATGCTGTTGTTTTGACCGTAAGTCTATCAGTGTGCATGTTCAATGCGACATCGTAGCACGGTACAAGTGCCTAACGGTCGCTTTTTTAACAGTACATAAGCACTAATAAGGCTCTAAAGACATAGTATTCTCTTTCAAAAAATAGTAGAAGTGTAGGTATCGTAATGTGCATTGTTGGTAGTACTGCTCTTCTTTTGATGTTTATCGATAACATCATTGTAGTGCGTATGATGAAGTCGATTGATCGACGATCACTTTCTCTGTATACCAAGCAAGGTTTGTGTTCTTAGTAGTTATTAACGAATGAAGCATTCGAAAGGAAGGTTGAGTTTATCGATACTGTGAATGTGCTTCTTTTCTCAACACTATGAAGTCACAATAGTAGATGTTAGGGGAGGGGCGGTTGATAACGCGTGTGTAAGGTGATAGGTTTCTTCTCACTCACGACTAATCCTATTAGTGCTTAAGTAGCTATCGATTCGTAGAACGAACAGTCCTGGACGGTTACTAGGAATGGAAGGCAATGTGCCTCCTATCATTCGTACGATCAGTCCTATTAGTGCGTAAATAACGAAGTATAGAGATCAGTTGAATCGTCATTGACGATTTCTAGGAGCTTCGGAGTTACTTAATGGAGTATGGTCTTGTAGTAGAACAGCAGTAACACAGTACAACCATGATGGAATGACATCAAACTATTCGTTCGAACTGTTGGAACAGAATGATCATACAGGCCTCAGTACACTCCGACCTGCTCGTCCTACATGCGCTCCCTTCAGATCCTGTTATAGTGAACTCTCCATGTTGGACAACCCAAGGAAAATTTTCTCTGAGGAAGATTTACCCTCTTTCCACTCAACTGTCTATGAGATTATGGAATCGTTGAGAAAACTTAAGAAGAGACGAGTGAGCAAGATGCCGTCTATCACGCGTCTGTCTCCATTAGTGTGGATACTCCTCTTTCGTATGAGCTTCGCCACTCGCCTCCTCGGCAAGACCGTGAAGTACGGTACCGTGGTAGGTGGATCGGCAGTCGGGATATCATGCGGCTACGTCTACTTCACAACACCGGTAGGCCCTCTTACCTGGGGTCTCCAACGTCCCCCTTTCAGCCCACTATACCCCCAAGTGGATATCGTAATTTCACACCACGAACAAATCGAAAGGATAACATGGAGCGATTGAAGAATGAAGTGTAGCGACTAGAGTCACAGTAGCGAGTAGAGGGTTCCGTGTTGTCATCGCAGATTTGACATCGTTGTCATCGGCGGAGGCGCTACAGGAGCCTCGGTAGCATTGGACGGTGCCTCAAGAGGTCTCAAGGTGGCCTTGTTGGAGCGGGAGGACTTCTCCTCAGGAACCAGCAGTAGAAGTAGGCAACTGTCGCTTCAGTGTCGATGCTGAGTCGCCCTACTAGGCACGAAGCTCCTCCACGGTGGTGTTCGCTACTTGAAAGATGCCATCTTTAACTTGGATTACAAAATGCTCGTTTTGGTCTATGAGGTAGGTGGTTTCCCCCATGGGACATGCCATGGACCAGCACTACATAGGCGCTGCGTGAGAGAGCTCATATGCTGCATTGTTCGCCATTCATGACTCAACCCTTGGCGATCCTAATGCCCCTCTATAAGCCTTGGGACATCCTCATGATGTGGGCTGGTCTTAAGATGTAAGACAAGTGGGCATCTAGTAGAGTTGAGCGAGCCCATCAGGTACGAGTTTTGCGGCAATGTTGCGACGCTGTTCTCGCCAGGACTGCCCAACTCTTATTGGGTTAGCAAGTCCAATAGCCTACATATGGTAACAGCCTTCGTTAGTACAACGACATTCTTCCCATTCAGTTCCCTCTCTTGAAAAACGAAGGTCTGCTAGGCAGTGTTATGTATTATGATGGTCAACAGAACGACTCCAGAGTGTGCCTGCATATAGCTATGACCGCTGCAGTAATAGGATGCTATCACTTCTTCATAGACCTGCCGCATCGTTGGTAGGTAGAGAACTACATTGACGGTTGGGTGGGTGCGACTGTCGCTAACCACACCAACGTGCTCAGTGTCACCAAGGACGAGCAAGGTCTATGCAGTGGCGTGAAGTAGGTCGATGCTCGTTATGTGCTTATGCCTATTGGCACGGTGTCTCAGAGCGCAAGATGAGCTCACTGGAGAGACCTTTCACGTTACTGGTAAAGTGGTCATTAATGCTACGGGTCCGTTCTCGGACATCATTAGAAAGGACGCTAACCCTAAGGAGCGGGAACTGGTCGCTGCTGCTGCCGGAGCACACTTGGTCATGCCTAAGTAAACTACGCATATTCTTTATCGGTCTCAGTGTGCTACTTCAGGTCGTATTCTTCCCCAGCGTGTGGTATGCTAATTCCGGAGACAGCGGATGGTAGAGTCCTCTTTTACCTGCCTTGGGAAGGTGGGAATCTGTCGTGATGGTGATGTGTTGTTACTCTTAGTGGCCCTTAGGGAATACGGTTGTTGGCACAACTGATGTAAAGAGTGATCTAACGCCGCTTCCCAAGCCTACCACTGCTGAGCTCGATTTCATTGTCGAGGAAAGCGTGAAGTATCTAAGCCTCAACAAGGAAGATATTCGACAGGTCGGTTGGCAACCTATAAGTAGTGTATGTGTTCAGAATAGTACTTCGTCGTGTACAGTCTCTGCTACTAGCAGACCTATTCTCAGGATATTACTGCCGCTTGGAGTGGCCTTAGACCGTTGGTTCGTGATCCGAAGGCTGCTGATACCAGCAAGGTAGAATCGCGTCTCCCGAGGACTTTTACATCGAGTTGGTAGATGTCACGTGACCACGAAGTTGTGATCGACAAGAAGACGGGTCTGGTCAGCATTATGGGTGGGAAGTGGACCACATGCAGGTGGGCTCGCTCTAGAGTGATCAAATGCTGTGTAATGTGGTGTGTCTATACAGGCTAATGGCCGAAGATTGTCTCAACAAGGCACTGGAGCATCACCGTGGTAGAGTGTCGGCCAAGTACGGCTGTAGGACCTTTAGGTTGGCACTTCTGGGTAGCCACGGTGGGAGGTAAGGCTATTGCGTCGTTATTAAAGAAGTTCGTCTATCGTCATTGGTTCTCGGACTTTGATTCGAATCGGCCCAAGTTGATCTTGACATCGGGAGTAATAGATCATGCGCGCGCTATGTGCACGCCGGGGGGAAATTGAATTCAGCCTTACCTTCCAGATGGAAATTCCTTGGATGAAATGGGAGATCGAATCTCAGCGACTCGGCCTCTAGAGGTTCACATGACTTTAACGCGCATCTCGATGAGTAGCTTGTTCCTCACGTGGACGTGCGCAGGTTCTCTGTTGGCCAGGGATATGATTTTGACGTTCTCGCCGACCGTATGGCAATGGAGCTGAACAGGAGCTACGGTGTGGATCTCGATGGTGAACTATGGATAGCGGCTATTGGGTTATTATTGTTACGGTTCAGATGCTGTTCATCTTACCAAGTCGTATGGAACCTACGCCCCGGAGTTGTGTGAATTCGGACAAAACACCAACACCTTGAGTCCCTTGCTGCCACGCCAAGTATGTTGTTGTTGGCTATTTGGCTAGCAGTTGTCCCAACCCTTGTTAGAGCTTCCTTCGCACTGAACTTCTTTGGGCTGTTGATAGAGAGATGGCCGAGTCGGTGGTTGATGTGATCGCCTATAGGACTCGTATGGCCTTTGTTGACCCTGTTGCTACCAGGGCGATACTGCCAGAGGTGAATAGGGAGGGGAACGGATGAAAGCAACGATTGACAGCTGAATAGATAAACATGTTTAGGGTGAATAGACTGCATATCAGAAACGTGAAGGATCTAAATCCGGCCCTTGTGAAAACGCATAATGTACTCGTAACGCGATCAAGTTAATGGCACTGCGGCGCAACTAGCATCAATAGTGCCAAGATATTATTCTCGGTTTTTTACTGAATCCTGAATGAGTGTGCTGAGGTCACACCGATGTACGCAGAAGGAGGCAACGCTCAAACATGTCGCAGAAAATCCTGGTAACGGTGATAAAGAGGTGAAACCTGTTATAAGTCGGCGTTATTCACTCGTAAACTATCAGCTTGGAGTAGTAGATATTACAGTGTCAGGAGAATGAGAAATGTCTTGGAATCAATGCACTACATGCATAAGAAATATGGCCTAACCTAGCTATAGCTAGTCTCAGCAGCACAGATCTAGCAAACTCGTCTACTCTCAGATCGTGAGCATGGTTGGCGACAGGAAAGGATGGGATAAGAAAAAAAGAGCAGCTGAGATGGAGAAGGCAAAACAGTTCCTCCGAACCATGACTTACGGTGAAGGCCATAGTACGGCCATGGTCCGCCGTCGGACATACCGCGACGTGCCTGTCAACATGTCTGAATGATCTCCCATGGCTTTCTTGTTTTGTGGAATATTCAAGTAGTAATCAGTAGTGCTCATCTTTGCATCAACATCTGTGCTTGTGCGTGATAATGCAGGATTTGTGTTGAAGTACTCTTGTCAATACAAGCATGGATAGTGGGTGAGCAACCGACATCCTGGTGGAGTTCGCGCTTGTCATTGTCCACTTAGCTAGAAGGATCACGGATTCAGACTCTTGTACGAGGCTAACACTTTGTGAGTGGCTCGAAGTGATAGCCATCGGATAATGCATGCTCACATTCTTTACCGTGTCATTGCGGTTGGGGTGTCAATGGTGGTTGTGTTGCGAGTCGCTGAGAAGTCGAGCAGTGGTCCCATTAGTGATCACCTGCATGAACAGTCGACGCTCCAGTGTTGCTTCGGACGGCGGTAAACGTCAGAGCTCGTTGCTATCGTTCTTCAAAGTATTGCCGAAAAAGGAGGAGAATCGACCTTCACTACCGTCACGTGGTGATGTGGCTGATGTGGATATGGATAGTTCCCCGGCAACCGTTGAGAGGTGATCTATAGATGGCGATGGGACTGATCGTTCTGAATGGTGCCTATTACTACTGATATTCACATTCACTCCTGGTTCTCTTTGAGCAACATTGTCCTCAGCATATCCTCGACAGCGACTGCACCGGTCAGGCGAACCTCTCTGATCAGCGAGGAACAGACCCAAGTACAGTCAGAGGGCCAGTGTGAGGGTATTGGGAAGAGGAAACGGAGACTTACGTACGTCGATGACAGCAGCGATGATGAGTCCGGAGACGACGAGTCAGTGAATGAGGTAGTCGCAAAGCCTATCTTGAGTTGCGACCATTTCGATGTTCAGGCTATTTTTGTGAAGCGGCAGCGAGGCTTGGATGAAGCTACCAGCTCAATATCAACGCTCGAGTCGGGATCCTATGATGACCTACTATATGACGTCAATTCCTTGCCAGCAGTACCACAAGGTCAGCGGGGAACGAGCGTTGGCATCATGATTTCTGCCTCTGATTTCATTGTGCCGGCTTTAAGCCATGTACTCCGTATTCTCGCGGAGCCGCATTGAGTCGCTGTCCAGTGGTGGGCTAGCACATTGAGGGGATTGTTCTCACGATCAGTCTTGAAGTCCCGGCCGGACAACGCTGTCATTCTTGCTCTGAGAAAGCCATTGGAGAGTCCTAATGGTGACGATGAAGCAGAGCTCACTAGGGAAGAGATCGAGGCTAAGGCTAGAGGTGGGATCATCTCTTCTACTAAACTCTTCGTCCTTACCAGCGGTTCCCTTTGATCATACAATTGACGTCATTGTTAACGAAATTGAGATCTTCATTTGAAGCGCATGGCTCAGTTCTCTACCTGCTATTTTGATGTTTCTTCCTCTCCCCACGCGCCAAATTGGTATCTTTACCCGCGCATGTGAAGTCGTGATCCTTGGGCATAGCGGCCCCACCCACCTGATAGATTTCTTAATGGTATAGTCCATGGCGGCATATGGGCCCCACCCGCCAAATAGACTCCTGAATTGTATAGTCTATAGCGGGCATAGCGGCCCCGTCCACCAAACAAGTATCTCAATTGTATAGTCCATAGCGGGCATAGCGGCCCCATCCATCAAATGAATATCTGAATTGTATAGTCCATAGCGGGCATAGCGGCCCCATCCATCAAATGAATATCTGAATTGTATAGTCCATAGCGGGCATAGCGGCCCCATCCATCAAATGAATATCTGAATTGTATAGTCCATAGCGGGCATAGCGGCCCCATCCATCAAATAAATATCTGAATGGTATAGTCCATAGCGGGCATAGCGGCCCCATCCATCAAATGAATATCTGAATTGTATAGTCCATAGCGGGCATAGCGGCCCCATCCATCAAATGAATATCTGAATTGTATAGTCCATAGCGGGCATAGCGGCCCCATCCATCAAATGAATATCTGAATTGTATAGTCCATAGCGGGCATAGCGGCCCCATCCATCAAATAAATATCTGAATGGTAGAGTCCATAGCGGGCATAGCGGCCCCATCCGCCAAATCTGAGTTGTATAGAGTGGTAAGCGTAGTCGCATAGCGGCCGCCGTCATTGAGTTATTTTCCCCCTCCTTGTATCATCAGATTGGCCTCCCTTTGCCGCCGCATGCTTGAGGGCCTACTACGAAACGAGAGACACGTAACTACTGGGAGTTACTCTATTGCTGGCTCGAACGTGATAGATGGGGATCTCATTCATAGATTTGTAGGTACTCTTATCCTAGTTGGATGCATCCAGACAATCTTGCAGATGAGAAGGGACGTAGGCCTGATCATCCTGACTATGATCAGTCTACTATGAAAGTCCCCGATCTCAGAGGTGGGCCCTCTCCTCGAGATGTGTCATTGTAATGTGCTGTAGACTCTTCGCGGCGTAAGAAGGAAGAGGGTCACTGCACGCCCATGCTGCTGCAGTATTGGGAAGTGAAAGCGAAACACTTCGACGAGATCACGTTGTTCAAAGTCGGCAAGTTCTACGAGATTTTCTACTATGATGCAGTGTTCGCTCAAGCTGCATGCAACCTGCGATGGATGGGCAACAACAAGAAGCCTCATGTGGGCTTTCCGGAGGTAGGTTGTCTTTCAGCGATGTCGACGATACAGTGAAGAATCCTCGCGCGCAGTAATAGTCCCAGCGATCTTGGAAAACTCGATGTCTGATGAAGAATCGGGAAGTGCTATGTGACAGTAGTCTTGTAGGTGTCGTTGTACGAGTATAGCAGTGTCTTGGTCAATGCTGGCTTTCGTACAGTGGTGGTAGAGCAGGTTGAAAGGGTTGGGGAGATGAACAAGGGACAGGGGAGGAAGAGTGATGCTGTTGTGAAGCGAGAGGCTTGCCAGGTGGGCCGCTGCATGGTTATCCCTCACGGGTGGGATCACGTTAATTGCGCCCTATCATGGAGTGAGAAAACCTTAGGGGGGGGGCATCGGGAGCTAGGCGACAAGATCTGGATGAGCATATCGGACAGAAAATGAGGTTATTCTGCGGCTGCATCGTTGGTCTCAACTCGCGCATCTGGCTTCGAATAGCGCCCTAGGCTGAACTGTTGGCGGCAAGTCTCTTCCATTAGGCCCACACAGCGGGCACGCTGACGCACGAGGTGATGCTCAAGAACTCACCGTCCCCTGCTCAGCCCAACTATCTCATGGCCCTGTGGTTCAGTGATGGATGCACTCATCCTGGTAGGCCGCCTCCTATCATATCACAGTTGAGGTCTCGGTGGTAGGCGCTCTCGGGGACCGTCTGTCCTTCGGCTGCTGTGTAGTAGACTGTACCACATCTACATTCAAGTATGGCTGGTTTGAGGACAAGCCAGACCGACAACTACTACGGACTATTCTAATAACGCTGCAACCAAGGGAGCTGCTGGCTGATAAGAGTAGGCTGTCTTCTAGGGTTGAGCTGCACGACACCCGACTAGGGTCGCCTCCTATCTCACACAATGCTAACTCAACGCGCGGGGCTTTGCGAATTGCTCTGATGAAAATTAAGCCGGCGAAATCATCGCTGATATGACATACAGTGAGCTTAGTATTGGTAATGACATGTTATAAGATGAGCACCCGTGATAGTGGGCATATAGACTGGCATTTATAGATCATAGGATTCGCCAGAGTTGAGGGGTGTATCCTCACGCCGCGCGAGACTCGCCAGCATTGAGTTGCGATGGACTGGGTGTGTTTCAGAATCGATACCCACAGCGGTCCATCGCCTACTCCAGGGCCTGGCGGTCCCGCCGACTGTCACACAGTGGCATCATTGGGATCCCAATACGGAGCACGGAAGACAGGTAGCGAAAAAGGGGTTTGCCGCTGTCTTAACACTCGATACTCAGGACGAGAGCGACGAGCCTCTACCTGTACAGAAGGCGTGCGGAGCTGTTCTAGCCTATCTACGTCAAACAATGCTCTACGAAGCGGTACGGAGGGGCGTCGTTAACGGTTGTAGATATACAGCCAACAAGCGTTTGGACTCAAGTGACACTATAGCTCGGTGGCGACTGATGATCGTGTGTGGTTCTATGTAACGGGCGACGGTTGGTGGAGTCAGGTAACATCCTTCGCAACATGGGAAAAGTTGGACACGTCGAATGCGGGTAGCTCAGGCTTGGTCCTCGACGCGAACGCCTTGGAGCAGTTGGAAGTACTGCGAAGTGAGCCTACAGTCGGTTCACTCAACAGTGTGAGTATCTCCTGGTAGATACGGATGGTAAACTAGAAGGCTCTTTACTCAACCAACTAGATCATACGGTGACTCCATTCGGCAAGCGCCTGTTGCGACAGTGGGTGTGTTGCCCGTTGAGAGCAAAGACTGATACTGACAGAAGACTCGATGTGGTGGATTGGCTCCTAGAAAGGACTGAACTAGTCGCGTAAGCTGCTTCGTACAGCTCTGTCGTTACGTTGGTGACTTCAGGGACCTTCGTTCGAGGATGAGGAAGTTACCGGACATCGAAAGGAGGCAAAACAGAGTATTTGCTCTAGGCCTGCAGCTCGAGAGGAAAGCTGTTCTCTATGGCGAAGTGCGCTTGGAACGGTACCACTGGTGTCCTTGAGTTCCTCGTGCTGCAGGTGGAGTCCTCACGTATTGCCCAGTTCATGGAACTGTTGGCAGCTCTGAAGGAGGCGGATAGATGCCTCGCTATGGTGAGCTTCTTCTTTGCTTCGGTCGTGGGAAATTATTGAAATAGTTTTTGAGAGAAGTTTTCGTGGCAACAGGTTCGCGAAGGTGATGGAGCGCTGCCAGCACTGCTAGATGAGCTGATACCGATGGAGGAGCTCGGCTATGTGGATGGCATCTTGGAAGAACTGGGCAGCAGAGTGCAGGGAAGTGAATCAGACGGATACTCTGCAGCACCAGGTGAGATCCAATACTCCATGGACAGCGAAATATGGGAATTAATCTTCTTTGAAGTATACTACCTGAAACCCTCATCAGCTGAGGGTTGCATGCCTCTTGTAAAGTTTTGGTGAAAGGCCGACTTGGACTGTGGCAGATCTAGCACCTCGGGGCGGACCCGAGGGGAATCTCTCATGGGTGTATGCGAGCGGGGTTGAGGAATGAGCTAGCCCCTTGCTCATATCATGATGGAGATGAGTACATCATCGCCAGTACATATCTCTTAGGATGCTGCCCAGCCTACGACGAGGCCCAGTCTAAGATAGCCAGCATTAAGTCAGACCTCCAAGAGGAACTGAAGACCGTCTGCCATGAGCATCTAAAAGGATGCAAACCGCAAGAGGCGAAATTCGTCAGCGTGAAATACAGGTAGTAGTTCCCTTGCACGTTGTGGCAGTCGTTCAATTGGTCGAGGCAAGGTATGAAATTGAAGTTCCTGAGCGGTGTGCCCCTCGAGATTTAGAAGCGCATGGACTGGAAGTGTCCAGCACGAGAAAGGGCTTCGTCAGGCTTTTGACGCAAGAGGTGGAAATCAACTCGTCTGGACAATGCAAGGAACGCTGGTAGATACGTAACATGACGGAGGAGCTGGATGCGACAGAGGAGCGGATGAAGGACTGCCTCTACCCCTTCATGGCACAACTCTTTAAGGACTTCCACAAGCATACCATTCGGCTACAGGATATGGTGAAGTCGCTGGAATGGCTATATTCGAGGCATCCGGTTGGGCCTAGGTTCAAAGGCTGGCTACTCTGGATTGTCTTCTTTCCTTATCGGAGGCGTCCCGGCCTGGAGCTGGCTCGATGTGCCGGCCGCAGATCCTGGATCCGACAGAGTTCACTGCTCCAGTCTTTGATTTGGTCGATGGACGGCATCCGGTGATTATAGTGACGATAATGTACAGAGTCTTGAAGTATGTGGTCAGGTACAGGAGGCTGCCTTAGCACGATCAGGGAGGGAATTTGTACCCAACTCTGTGGAGATGGGTATCAATGGCAGTCCGACGACGCTGCTGGTCACAGGCCCCAACATGGGCGGCAAAAGTGAATATTATCGAGCTGTGTTGTGTTTGCTATCGAACTACCTACAGGTACGGTACTCCGTCTAAGTGCTACTGCTGTTATTATAGCCCAGCTTGGGTGCAGAGTACCAGCATCATCGTAAGGGTGTCCATCTGGACCGCTGAGTTGCTCCGTAAAATTGCGGTTTGCAGGTTTAAATTAACACCAGTGGATCGAATTTTCACCAGAATTGGCGCCAGAGACTCCATCCTAGAGAACAAGAGTACTTTCCTCATCGAACTCGAAGAGACCGGAGCCGTGTTGCAGCATGCCACCAAGCATTCCCTAGCAGTCATTGATGAACTTGGTAGCGCCATCTCGTCGCTTTCGGCAATCGGGTTGGCCCTTAGTGGGACTAGCAGTCGTATCAGCTCTGAGCCCCTTACTGGGCTGTATCCCGTGGTCATTTCCCTTGTGAAGTGCGTATGGGCTCAAACACACGAATGCTCGCCGTGGGCGGTGAATTGTGATAGCCTGAGTTGGCTTCAATCTCCTCTCAGGCCGCGGGACTTCAACTTTCGACGGTGCTGCTATCGCTCACGCTGTGCTCGAGAGGATATCGGAGAGTATTGGCTGCCGTACTCTTTTCGCCACACACTATCATCAATTAGCCGAAGATGAAGGTCTACACAACACGGCACTGTGAGGGCCTGCCTCGAAGGACTACTGCGCATTCTGTAGAGGAGCCCTACTAGTGGTCGTTGTAGGTACCATCAAGCATGTCTCGTTAACCCAGCTACTCGCGAGGTGACCTTCCTCTACAAATTCACTAAGGGACGATGCCCTCAGAGCCACGCTATGCATGTTGCTAAGATTGCTGGCCTACCGGAGGTGCCTCCTGTTGGCGGTGTTTCCAGTTGAGTTTTCTTTCGTCAGGTAATCGTGGAGGCAGCGAGGGAGATGTCGACAGTTTTCCACTCTGCTGTGGAGTACCCGGATGTCCCATATGATGACGAAGCTTTGGGAGAATTCTACGACTCTGTTAAGCACGTTGCAGCTCATTGAATTTTCAAAGCGGTTCTGATGATTGCGTTTCCTGCACTCGTAAGAGGTAAATGATCATATGCAGAACTTATCTATGGAAAGTAAAAGTAGTTTACAGAACCGTCATGCACTGGACGGTCATTGTGTGTTACTTCCATTATGGGCAAGTTTGGAACTCCATTTTGGCGGCTGATTTGACTCGAGACGAAAGTTCTCGACGCGCTCCCACACGTGACCTGTGTGAGCTCAAACTCGCGGTCTGCATACGGGCTTCGGTGGGAGATGTGATAAGCGATCACTCAGAAAGTAACTTCATCATGCTTCCATGCTCGAGTGCGTTGGGGAGTGAGGCAAGGGAGCCAGTGACCAAGCGCCTCCTGCTCATTTCTAGATATTTCGAGGTATTCCCTCAGGAAACTTTTCAGTAGGAACAGGCTACGCTCTCACGTTCCCAGAAGGAAAACTCACCCGGCACTGAACCATTTGGCCGCCAGAGTGAGCGTACGATATGATTGGGCATGTTTTGATCTCGCAGGCATGTCCTAGTGATGATCGCTCCCTTAGGGAATATCCATTGGGAATAGTCGAACCGAGATTCTACTCACCTTTCATCGTCTGGTTGAACTCAAACAAGGTGAAGTTGACAATGGTTTACTCTACTTCTCCGGTGCGAGCCGTGGACGATACTACGGGTATAAGGAAAGTTCAACGACAGACGTATGAGGCTGTGCCACGCAACGCCTCTGTGTCACCTAATGTCCTTGTCCCATGCAAACGCGTGCTATCAGCACGATGTCGAAAGGACGACGTCCTGCACTCGAGCGATGCCTTGCTACTTTGTATTGTAGCACCAATATCACTGAGTTAGCCTCTGTGCACTTCAGTTATTCGTGTCTCGGTTTGTTGCAACATTTTTGCGCATTACTCGTCACGCAGCGTGACTTGTGGCATACACCCACGTTCTTCATATTACGAGTTGATCTCCCAGCAGAGATCTTCCAACAGAAATCAGAACAGTTATAGAACTAATTCTCTCCGAGCAGGAAATACCCCACCTGCATCAGTCCAGCGATACCACATCCGGCGCAGATTATCACCTTAGATGTTGTTCGAGGAGCTGCTGTGCGTGACCGCGATTACCGCGACGCGATACGAGTTCACTAACCTCACGTGAATCGGTGTCTCAGTCGCCTGTGACGCCAAAGAGATTGGTCGGTATTTCATTTGATAATGCAATTTTTTGCAACAGTTTTTACATCCAGCTTCACGACGAATCCCGTCTATCCAATTCTGACCTATGCGCTTCTCCATCCTCGTCGTCGCTGTTACCATCATGACTACTTGTGGTATCATTGAGAGAACCCCACCAGAAGGTTCCTTACTCGGCCGTAGGTTAAGTAACCGTTATTGTGAGACTTGTGCAACCAATTGCCACTGCGACACCCACGGCTGCCGTTGTCGATAGAGAGGCGTCTAATACTCTCACATCGGTGCCAGACCTTCTGGAGCACTTTATTTTCTCTCTCATGGATCATGATCTGACCATCTGCAAGGTTCTGTCGGTCTTGGTTTTTGTCCTTCTCCAGCCTCTGTGGTATCTTTTCACTCTTTTTTTGATCCTAGTTGTGGTAGACCTAGACCCTCCGGTATCCATCTCAACATCAAGCCTCGAAGGAAGAGACATACTATTAGCAATAACAATACGAGTGAGAATTTATAGGCTGAGAACAATGTCATCACATACAATACATTAGTCATCTTAATATTATTATATTAGTATAGCATAGCAGCTAGGCTAGATGGCGATGGCTAGGTGGCAACTCGTCACATAGTTGGCGTCGCCTATGCTGTCTAAGGCTCACCATATCCCTTTATTTTCATCATCGATCGTATCTCATTACGGTGTACACGAGTATTTTAGTTGGTCGGCATCCACGATGTTGTTGTGTTTCAAGTCAACCGTAGGAGCATTCAAGGCAACTGCTGCTGGTCTTTGTCCGTCTTGCCTCCCTCACCCCCACTTGAAGTAACACTTGTCTCAGTCATAGGGAAATGATTAGGTAGTTATCAAGTAGTATGGCAAGTTGTCATAGGCAACGCTAGACTATATCACATAGAAGCTAAGCAGAGCTTAGGATATCGATCAACAGGGCCAGCGCTGATAACACTGGCACAAGGGGACAGAGAGAGATGGATAGATGTGTCGACTATTCACGAGATATCGTGTGCACAACCATGCTCTACTGAGTAGAGTCTACTCAACAATTGAGCTCCCATTAGAGGCATTTCTAAGGACATACAAGTTCGGGACGTTGCCACTGGCAACATCTCTACAAGCGAGCCAAGGAGTTTTTCCCGAGTTGAGTATTGATAGTAATACTATCGACTTGGAACATTTTCGGAAAAAAATCCTCTTCAAGGAGTTCCACCAATACGCACGCGATTGGAATTTCCAATTTGAGAATTACATGATGACATCACGTGACATTGTGACGATGCGTAGTTCTTCGTTCGCCGAACGACGTCGGGGGGGCATCAATCCTATCCCAGACAGAATCGGACAGACTGTCCCATCGCGGTATGACCCCTAGCCAGATCGATGCTGGTGATAATTAGCATTCATCGGCCTTAGGGAGCTACGTGGACCATTGAGTAAAGGAAATGTGTCGAACTAGCGCAGGCTCTACGTCGCAATGAATATATCAGATTCTGTTCCATAAACCTTCCGAGTCGCAAAGCTAGAACAAAAGTCTACATCACGCGATGTGTATCTGAGACACAGTGTCTCTTCCAATATTATTCTAGTCTTCTTCGCGAGTGGTTACTCTTTGAATTCGGGCTTGGAAGATATACTCAACTGCCGGAGTATGGCGAACATCAGCAGGCATCCTGAAACTATGATATCGACTTGGGGTGAACAGCTTTTGCCGATGAGGATATTATGTCGGTAATTGTGCCCAGGTAAATATATCATCTTAACATATCTCCCCGGAAAGGTGACCTCGAGAGATTTAAGGGGACGACTCGAAAAGATATCAAGATGATGGGCGAGAGCTGGCACCGCTGTATGAGTTGGCAGCTTCGAAGGCTCAAACCAATACAATAGTCAGTGTCGGAACCGTTGCTGCAACGGTGCCTGGTCTTCTGCTTCTGGCACACCGGTGTTGTGCCCATGTTACTGTAGTGAGTCATGGCACACGAGCGACTAGCATCTGTGGAGCTGCGGTTTCCTCTGTGGTGAGTTCTCATGTTCGGAAAATGAAAATCGGGTCACCCGAGTACAAAAGAATGGCGAGGGAAAATGATTCCCCCCACCCCTTGAACCCGGAAAACTTCAAGAATCAGTGCATCTTGACAGTGACTGTCAGAAAATCCGTTCTTCTTGGGAAATCAGTCCCTCCTTCCAATGCTCCCACAGCTATTAATCATTTAATCCGCGCTATCGGCCCGATATCGCTGATCAGCGCACAATGGTGGCAATCGGGAAAGCGTCGGCATCGTTTCCACCCTGCGGTTTCGGTTCTCTTCCGAGATTGGCTCACTGTACAAAGGAAGTGGATGTAAGCAGATTTGGTACCCATTCGGATCTGGTGAGGGTGTTCCGGGGAGGGATAGTTTCATTTCTCTGGAGGCTAGGGACCGGGCTTTTCGGCTCTCTGTCATTTGGGGGGATGACGAGTGTTTAGTTTTTCGCCAGGCGCGATATGGTACGCCTGGGTGATTTGACACGTATTTGGAAAGTGATTTTCCGGATTCGGATGATATGCAAAGAAATTTGAAAAAGTTCACAAAGTATTCAAGAAGCAGATGGAACGAACGTGAGTTGGCGAAAATGTGGTAGTGGGCCACTACTAGTGGTGTCCGACAAAGTGAGAATATAGACATGATCGAGGGTTCCATTTTTGATACCTGAGTACTGGCCGGCGCAGTAGCAGCTTACTTTTTTCTCGTTAAGCCCAAACTTGCGCGAACAGCTCATAAGCAGATCTCGTTTGGTGACTCCTTTCCTCAATAGCAAGGTGGCAGGTCCCAACATCATCCAAGCGTGTTGTGCTAACGACAGACCGAATGGATTGGAGGGCCTCATCGCCGAGCTGGACAGGATACAGAGGATCCTTACAGATTATCTGGAAAGATTATCTGGATTATCTGGAAACGTGAGCGGGCGAAGGTTAGTCGACAAGGCGACTCCTTCACTATATAACTTGCGAACAAGTCAACTTGTTTTCTATTGAATAGTTATTTCTGTTGTTATACTTCAAATCAAATGATGAGTTATTGTCCATCCGGGGAAATTCGGATTCTCAGGCGATGCAGTCTCATTACCTGAAGCTCTTCGACAACGCAAAGGGAATCGTCTTCATTCAAGACTCTCCAAGCCCGGCAGCAAGATTGGGATGGAGGGAATGACCAGGAATAGGTCCCGGGATCGATCCCGGTAGGAGGAGCTCTTCACTCAGTTAGTCGACAGTAGATGTAGATTTCTCGAAATGCCGAGCCCTAGCTGAAGCGCGATTTACTCGGACGAGATTTCCCTTCGCATTAGTGGCTGAGATCCTCTCTAAAATGATACCAATACTCCTACGGATAAGGAAAGGGGCACGCCGCTCCTCGACGACACGACGATCGATTTTGGTATGAAGTAGAGAGTTGGTGGATCAGCAAGACGATAACGTAGGACCGCCACATCTCACCGCACATCGTGTATTAACTGCTGATAATTAGCTCAAGTATTACTATTCTATGTGAGCTGATTTATTTCATCCCTAGGAGTAGTTTCATGTCGTACTAGTCATTGCTGTATTACTATGTATCAGATTGTAACGATATCATCGTACTCGATCAGTATGGTTATCAAATCTGAATTGAGTGTTTGTTTACATAACAGAACCTTCTTGACGTCCTCTTAGTCAGAATTGTAATGAAATAATGAGGTAGCCCGTGTACTACATCACTGCGCCATAGTTATTGCTTGCATCTTGGATATCATAATAATGATGACGGTGCAACTCGGCGATCGTCCAATCTTTGTGTATGGAACTCTGATGTCTGCGGAAGTGAGCTGAACTTGGGCAGTGAGAGCCCACCGTGAATTCATCTCGGCATCTCAGTTGCGGTCGGCATTACTCGGCGGCCGCGATGTCGTTTGTAGCACGGCAGTGCTCCCGGCCTCAGCAGGGTATCGGAGGTAAGCACGGTTTACGCCTGTATGTTATCCGTAGGCTCGATTACTCATCAATTATTTCGAGGATCGAAAACTCCCAAAGTTTCTCCGGAATCTGTCCGAATTACGGTAGCTAAAGTGTGAATCGGAGGAGGTTAATATAGCCGAAACAGTGCTCACAGCGGAGATCTATTAGAACAGATTCCGAGTCCAGGGCCAGCGTTACCCAGCCTTGGTGAGGGACTCTCCGAACAAGGGGGAAGCAATAACTGGTGAATTGCTTACTGGACTAACTCCGAATGATGTAGAGCTCCTGGTGGAGTACGAAGGCGACGAGTGAGTTGTTCGCTCTTTCGAATATATTCATTTACACTAGGAACATCGAATAGATACTACGTGTCGTCGGCGGAGGCGTTGGTGAACGACAACTCGGTGGCCGTAGAAGCCGCTGTATTCCTGTGGAAGGACAGTCTTCGCTCTCAGCTCATAACTGATGGTGAGCCGGTATGACGTTCAAAGCCATCTACTGTGGGGCCCACAGTGTGGGCTGGCTCAGTCCAGTGTTAACTCTGTAAAATTATCCTATCGCCAAGTCCACCAACGTCCTCTATTTCCAGCAATGATCGTTGCTGGCTTCGCCCCTTGCCCCTTTCCGTCTTGCATCTTTGACGATTCTTGGCCTGTCCCAATTGAGCGTTTCATATCTGTTGTATATGATATAGTAATCGCTGAGTTGAAGGTCAAGCTGCCCGTTGGGGAGGTGAACTATTCCTCCCTTTGATCACTCAACACAGCGCACGCGAGTCATTCATTTCCTACAGTATCATCAGTAGCATGTCGTACTTGGTACGACTTATTCTGACCGACCGAGGCGCCGTAGAGAGTGTAGTCTATTTCTTGGACCAACTCGATTGGTTGGAGTTGCACTGTATCTGAGAAGGATTCTGAGCTGAAATTCTAATAGGAAATCGACCGAGTAATGAGTTTTAAAATGCTAGGAAAGAGTCGTGCGTCACCTTGACCCATGTATATGTCTAAAACATTACAACGGGACAGTCGATTTCCTGGGGACTTATCCCGCTCCTTAGCTACTCGGTGGCTAGTGAAGTACTGACCATGTGATAGCAGTATTATCACAGAGTTTGCATCTGCAAAGTGCAAGCGAATTTGCCATCAGAGAAAGAACTATAAGGGACACTTAGGATTGTTCAAGATATGCTTTTAACGACGCTAAATTAGCGTTCATCCCTTAGGTGACTCGTGGGACTTCGTTGAATGGCTTGAAACCGGACTTTCGGATGCTGTAGTTGAAGCGAGTTCAGTTTTCAAGGAGCATATGACTAAGAAGGCTGTGAGTATCTTGGGTCTACCTTGTTAGAATTTCTCCTCTCAGGAGAACCGAGCAGTGACTTCTTCAGTCGAGGTTGAAGACCGGGAAGGGGATCTGAATAAGTAGGTCGGCGGCATATTCGTATAGCGCGAGAGCTATCATCGCTTAGCAATGAAGTGATGATGAGTAAAATAGTGAAGCTTCATTCTGTAAAAACAACTGAAGTTTCTCATTGCCTTGCTCCCCAAGCTCTTCCTCGTTCACCATTCGTAGTGGGTTTCATGGCGGGCTTCGAGGGCAGCCATTACTCCACCTACTTTATCAGCTCTCGAAACAGGTGTTCTTCGTGAGAGAGGAGATTGGAGTGAAGACTTACTGTGAGAACTGTGAAAACGATGCAACTCACTGTGAAGGTGCATAGAAAACCTTGAGCGTACCATTCGCTCAGTAGTAAAGCTTAGTCACCTTACTATGATCACCTCAGTAACCCTTGTTGTTGTTCTCAGGATTCCAAACCTCAAAATCGCAAAGGTGTTGTTGGTCAATGATCATCATTAGCTGGTTTCTCCTGATCATGATCAGTGTTGAGTTATGTCGAGTTGGCTCTCATATAGTACTGAGGAGTGTCATGTGGATACGTAGGGTGGAATAGTCACGCACATGAGATGATACTTGCGTTTCTGGCGAGCGCAACTCGGTTTTGTGTTATGGATTCATGGAACCGAGTGAGTCATTTAGGTGGGAATCAAGATGAGTTATATTCCCAGAGGCAGTTTTTTTCATATTCCTAGATTCCCAGAGGATACGAGCTCTGGGTCGGAGCTCGTATCCTGGGGAGTAGAGAGTAACGATCTCTCAATTTTTACTCTCCGTGACGGGAATTTCGTCTCAACCCCCCTGGACAGGAGAGGCCTGGCATCCGATTATATTGCTTTGATAACCATCGCACCCTTTGTCGCCTATGCGGGCTTAGGCGATCGAGATATCCAATCCTTGTAGGTTGACCTGCTGTGCTGGTAGAGCACAATCCTTCTATTATGGAACACCAAGATTCGATCCGTTCTTATGTCCTGTCAACCAATGGATACGAATGGTAGCTAATCCAATTGCCCCTTTCTCTGAATCTCCTGTTTATAGGCGGCTTCATGATCAATTCTTCCGACCTGAGATGACCTCTCTGAGCGGCCAAGTCCGCCGGGGAAGAGGCATCCGAGTGGTGTTGTGGGTCTGGTTTGCCTAACAACCTTGCTATACTACTGGTTCTCCCACAACTAGCGGTATCACGTTCTGTCCCGAAGGTTATTGTTATATCCTGAAGGGTTGCTCCATGGATCAAATCTTCGCCATCCTCTTCCTAGCGAATGAGTCCAATATCGATTACTGTGCTGCGCATGGTGTGTTATCGTGCAGAAGTTAAGTGCAAGTAGTGCGTTTACTGTTATTGTCCAAAGGTCGTAGTATTGTATGCTCTGGATCGAGTTCGCTTGTGTTCTTCTTAGAGCTCATCAACTGATACCGCGACACCTTTTCGGTATCATCATTGCACATGTTCTTCTGATTCTCCTTGGAAGAATTCACCTTATCGCCAGAAACAACACGCTAAGCACCCTACATCTGATCAATAGTTACTACACGGTGGAGTAGCGTCCCTTAGCTCGTACACATGGAGTCCCCACCACCGGAACTTAACGAAACGAACGTGTTTTGCCACCATTATCTCAAAAAGCATGATCCCTTATGAAGAAAGTAGTCAAGAAAATTGTTGGAAGTTGCAGTCTGGAACCAACTGGGACGGCAGGGCCCCAACCCATGATTCGCTGAAGTGTGGGATATACTATCATGTAACTCTTGGTTACCACGATGCATGTACATTGGATAACGGCTCCGGTCGGTCGAAGCGGTTCTCCGCGTACTCGATGAAGTTCGGCCACGTTAGTGCATTTTAACGTGATTGACAGCCGATCGACACTGAATCAACTTATAATTAATTCGCCCATCCCCACCAAGAAGCTCCACTTATCAACCCAAGATCCCTAAAATGAAAAGGGCGATTAAAATGATTATGAGCGACGATCGTCTTTAGCAAGTAGAACAATATAAGAGCCCAACTGTGCATAGTTTCTATCAATCCCCCATAGCAACTGATCGGCGTTTGTCTTCTCTCTCGCTATCGCCTTGCATTGATCGAGTTTAGTCCTACTGGCTGAATCACGCTCGTAGCCTGGCGGTAGTCGCACCTGATTAACTACGTGATGAAGCAGAAGGCAGCACGAACTGACCATGGCATCGTTGTAGCCTCCTGTGATCCAATCGGACAGCTGTATTGCATCACTAACGGATTTTTGAAGACCCATACCCGGAAAACGAGGATCTGTCAGGAGAACGCAAGTAATGAAGGCGACATTCAGGTGGAATTTTCTGGGAGTTCATCTCACCCATATGCAATGATGCCATCGTGCAGACGCACTTCACTGCGAACTTGGCGCTGAGGTTGATAAGACTGAGTAAAGCAGACATTCGTCGATCCATTGGTAAGGTTTGGTCGATGCAGTCAGCCGCAGCAGCTACGAACTGTGGGCTTGCTGCTAGCACAGGAGGAGGGGGTTGCCGGGGAACTGGCATTGTTGTTGTGCCTCCAGCTGTTGGAGTCTGATTCAGTGTTGATGCCACTGCTTGAGTCATACGTTGGGAGATTTCATCGTTTCGAAGGGATGGAGTATACCTAGACACATAAAAGACGCTGTTTAGTAGTCAGGAAGACCAATAGGACTGTAGACTCAATTTTATGGAGTCGAATCAAGTCGAACTTGATAGTGGGGGAAACAGACAGTCGAGGGTCGAAGTCCATGGTCAATTCGCGCTGAAATTCCGCAGTTCATACTTAAGGATACACTTGAAAACATGACCCAGCGGCTCACACTATATTCTGGGGTCGGACGCTGGCCAGTGATAGACTGTTGCTGCCTGGAGTGATCACTTCGACCACCCAACGCCCGTCCTCCTCTTCCACCAACCATCCGACTTGGCCGTTCCGCTGCGGTGATTTGCTCAGTCCCGCCAGAGTCACCCGCATTCCCTTTATCCATGGTAAAGGTTGGAGATATGCCTCGGATATTGAATAGAGCTGTCCATGTTTGGTCATAACCAATACACGGAAGCCATCGCGGCACTGAGGAATCTCCAATGACGCAAATGTAAGAGAGGGTGACTTACGATTGTCGTCGCAAAGACTCCTGATAAGTCCACCCGATGTGGCATCTCTAGGACGAACACACAGGTCCCCTCAGGCCAAGGCAGAGGACGAGGTGGTGGAGGAGGGGGGAGAGAAGCAGTTGCTTGGCTGTCTTCAACGGCTGCCATTACCACAGCAGGTCACCTCTATTATTCTAAACTGGTCGAATTCGCGCCTCGCTCCGCCAAGTTGTGCGGATGATATTTAGCGCTCGCCAAAAATTGCGGAGCGAGCGGAGCTTATGTTACTGCGCACGAACACTCGTGTACGTGCATGCGTGCGTCCGTCCGCGCGTGAGCAAAAATTCCGACCCGACCACGGCGATTCAGAAGGCAAACAGGGTATGATTCTGTCCCCCGTTGACTGCTCATCAGCGTAAAAAGACAGCGAAAGTGTCGCTGCTGCTTCGCCGCTTATTTTTGACGAAACGTTTTTCCACACTAGAGAGAAACTGTTAGCTCAGTACGTTAGTAACCAGGACTTCCAACTGAACTACCCAAGGTCTAATCCAGCGATTGTCGTTTTCATCATATTTCTTTATAAGCAGACACTTTACACTGGAGACGTCTATCCACGCCTTCTGGCAGGATGCCCACGCTATTATGGAGCGTGCTCGGCCATGACGACGACACCAGACAACGCCCGACAACTTTTGTTTTCTAGTCACCCAATTTAAATAAATAAAATAATCACCCAAAATAATTTCAATTACCGCCCGTTGATTTCTTGATAAGAAGCTTAGCGAGCTCCACCCCTTCGCATCGAAGACCTAGTTAGCTCACTCGACGACAGTCCATTTGCTCCCAGGATGCATCGGGAGTGTTCAATAGACCCCTCCTGAATTTCGCGTGCTCTTTCAGAGCTGGAACTAGCGCGTGAGAGACAATCGGAACGTGAGGAGAGCTTTCTTTAACACCACAATTATTCTCCCCGTACAGTATGTGACTGAAGCGGCTGAAAATTGGTTGAAAATTGAAATTGGTTTACGCTGGTGGCTTTGACAGTTGAGTCGAGTCTGGTGGGTGACGTTGGTATGTCCGCCAAGCCCTGGTGACACCTAACTGTCCCCTCCTGGACCAACCTCCATCAGCGTCACACTTGAGTATCCCTACTTGCAATGGGGTATCACTAGGAATGAGAACCTGAATGTGAAGACTGCCGCAAACGCCAGCTATGGAATCTTACGAGCGACGGATTCGTTCTTCCTGAAAACTACACTCTCCAGCACGTTTACTCCCAGTCTGGGAGTCCCAGGGTCCATTCACATCTTTGTGAACAGAATTCTTTCAGGTGAAGTTCTGCGGTGTATGACTACTCGCATCGTCCAGCTCTTCACTCTAGCTGCTAAGCTTACTGTTGTCTGTGTCGGGCAGGAAGGTGACCTTGGTAAGATCTCCACCCGATGAACATTCTCTTCGTGCATTGTTGCTTCAGAGCCCATCGAATACGTTCCGATGCTCTCTTTCTGTGACGGCCGTGGTCAATTCAATAGAACATGGGCGGTGACTTTGACTCCCAATATCGAGATAACCGACCTTATCGAGAAGGGTTGCCGTTGTAACGACGGCTGGGCGTCGGTTGGCATCAGAAACGAGACGTATTCCTATTACGTTATTCGGTGAGTCCCCCCTCCTCTAGAGCTCTCTTATTTTCTACTGTGACAGATTCTGTGCGTTGTGGACTCGAGGCTACGACTACAGCAAGGACTTTGAAGACAGCTATTGTGCTCCCTTTTTGTCACTTGTCGGTCTTCTGGACTGATCTCAATAGATATCGTAAATGTGCACGAGTATGCCGCAGCTAAGAACAGCCTCGTTGTCAACGTCTCGTCCGGGAACCTGCTGTAGGAACGTTGATTTGCCGGATTTACGGTAACGGTTGGATCAGGTTCTTCCGGAAACGCCCTTACGAGCCCTTCCTCCCACCACATGGCCCGGCGCTCGTCTGTAGGTCTCCTCCTCTGTGATAGAAGATGATTGATGTTTTTGTCAGACCATGTTTCGCGGCCTGGATGGTGTAAATATATTTGGAATATTATTTATCAGATTTGCTACTGCGAAAAGGATATTTTGAATATCACAACACCAACTGGGGAGTACCTCGTCATCAACGAGACGTTAAGTTGATTGTTCACTCTACTGTCAGACAGGAGGGGCCGTGTCCGCTCACTATGAAGGTTTTCCCGAGGCTTGTAGATGCCAATGGAAGAGGGTCTGCTCATTGGACCAACTCCCCTCCACCTACCGTTCCTATACTGCGAATCTCCACCAGCTCTACCAGTTCTCCAGCAATACGTAGCGCTACTGAATTCATGCCTCATACGATGTCTTCAGTCTGCAGTGAGGTATGCAGGTGATGATGAAACTAATGTGTACCCGAACTCGCCTGTCACTACTCCTGAACCTGCTACGGAAGAGGGCGAAAGTGAACGGAACCGCGTGGATAAGATGGGTAAGCACCGTGGTTCAATCCGAGGCTGGGGTGTTTTTCTGCCATCAGATCCTCTCGTTTGTGGGCAAAACGGTAGATGGTCAGAGGAGTTTCGAGTATGCATCTGTACGGCCGGGTGGAAGAGCGAGCCATCTCTGGCCGATCAAGGAACGTACATAAACACCACGTTGGGTTGAAATCAGCTTTCCGTACACATTAGGTTTTGCAGCACCAGGAAGGCTCTCCACGATGCAAAGGTGATTGGTGAGATTCTCCATCCACGAGAAGTGATACTGTCAGGTTTTCCTCCCGGATAACGATAGAGGTTTCGGCACGACCATCACATTCCTTGTCGTGGTGGCATTGATTGGCAGTGCACTCTTTTCCATGTGAGTTTGGTCACTGCTGAGTCATTCAGGATTGCCTTACAGGTGGCGTTGGTATCGGAAGGGCCCCGATCGCTATTCTCAAACATGGACATCATATGTCGCGCCCAATCATCCCTATTATTCATGAATCATTTCTTAGTGGTATAATTAGGATTGTTTGTTGCGACTGAGCCAGAGTTCAGGCGATTAAAGTATGAAGTTCTTTTCCATGGCTTCATCACCTCATCGTTATTGAGTTGAATGGGAAGTTGGTGAGCTGGAGGGGCTACCTAGCTGGGGCAGTGGGCTTTCGGTATATTCAATACGAGATTAGAATGCCTTTGAGAACAACTCGTCGATGTTTCTGATCGTGGAAGTGATTGAGGAGTAATCGATCCTTTGGACAACATGGGGGTGAAATGAAAGCGAGGACGGAGATGTGGGAAGAGGGGGAAAGATCAAAATTTAGAAGAGATGGAGTTGAAGGAGGCAGTGGACATGAGCTCGCTTGGGAACGAGGATAGTTGTCAGCAGACAGAGGTCTCTCAATTGCTAGTGATTGACCACTGGCAGTTGTATTCGGCACCGTTCCGCAGTAACAAGGTTATTGTAAACTTAGTAATTTGGCAATCGTATTGAGAGCAGTAGCATTTTGCTGTGCCATGTTCTATCAGTGTTTCGCTGTTGGAGATGTAGTGTTGTGTTCATGACCATTGGCTATAGTGTCTGGGAGCGTGAGCCACTTGAAGCTTCATTCGGTGATCTTGTTTCCGTTTATACTCCTAGGCACCACATGTCGGTGATACAATCGCACCCTCGGTACGGTCTTGCAAATAGCTCTCGACCGATTGCAGAATGCATCATGCCACTCATTTCTACCTCCATAACACTCCGCCTGGTGGATGCAGAAGTTGCAAAAGAACCATGGATGCCATAACGTGCGAGGCATTTGCACGCGTGAACTCTCGACCGTTCCCTCGAGAACTGTGAGCGATATCGATTAGCTAAGTGACCTCGTGAGTGCCCAAGTCACCCCGCAACGACGGGCGCCTCTCTGTGTGGCCGGATCCGATCTCCCTAATCATCGTCCATCCCATCACTTACAAATCGAACGCTGCTCAAATCAATGTTATTGAAAACAGCTCATGGCATTTACGAAGTGCTAAGTCGATCAGTGGACCCACAACTCATTCTCGTCGGTCCGGTAAAAGTCTCATGCAAGGCGTCTCTGATCGAGTCTATTAGTTCCTCATCAGATGATGTCGGTAGATCAGCTGCTATCAGTCTTGCTGTGATGCGTCTGGCAATAACCTTCCATAATCGACAGTCGGAAAGACGACAAAGCATACCCTGCTAGCGACAAGACTCTCTTCCAAAGCGGCTGAGATGCTGTAGGCAATTCGTCAATGAGATCCGCACTCAAGCTCCTGATGTCCACCATCATCACCTCGGAGAGGGCGAATGGGGCTGGGGCATCTGGGAAGCTCGACGGAGGAACCTGAGCGGCAGATCAGAGCGACCAAGAGAAATACAAACAGTTAAGAAGTGTACAACAAGTGTGGTAGACAACAGGAAATTCAGACAGCAGATAAGCGGGCGCTGTCAGAAGCGACATGAGAGTATCAATCGAATTTCACCACAGTTTGCTTACCTCGTCTACCTCCATGGGAGAGATGGTAGTAGAATCAGGGTTATTCCCTGTGTCCGGATTGAGTCGACGGGAGCGGTACTGTCCCGTGCTCTCCTGTGTCAGAAACGCTTCACGTGAGTCTCGACGTTCTTTCATCAATCTACACATCGCTGAGGCAACACACTAACCCTAACGAGGTTGAGCTCTACGCCTTACCAACAACGTTGTCATCGACACACTGACACTTCAGAGTTGCTCGATCGATGAACTCATTCGCCACTGCATAAACCTACAAGACATGGAACGAATGCTGGTACCACTAAAAGGAGAGTTTGATTGGGAACCACATAATATGGAAAACCCTCTTCAGCGGAAGCAGGAGACCCAGCCGTGTGCACGAAATATACAATACGGAACCCCAGAGGCCGTTCGAATCCGATAGTCTCAGTTCAACTCCGCATAAGAGCATACAGAGATATGGATTCAACCCCTTTTCATTTGAAGGGTCGACTTCTGCGGATGACTTTTCCCACCAGTTTACAGAGGATCCTGCTGAATTATACGTTCTTGCATTTTTGGCAATAGTTTCAAAGTCCGCCACGACTTCCGCCACAGCAGTATACTCTTCACAATCGTTCTTACGCATCATATCTTCAAGACACATAGGATGCTCGATGATAGAACCTGCTCGAACAAGATTCAAAACAAAATCCACATCACAATGAATGCTCTGAGTCAATCCACCAATGTTCGGCACCAGATTACAAGGGAGTGCCAGAAAGAACTAATTCAACGAGGAAATTCACCGGTTGATGCTAAACAGTAGAGTGTAAGGCACATACGAAGCGAAGCGAGGCAAAGTAATGCCAGCGTCGTCTTACTGTAGTCCGGATAAGCCTCTAGGCTAACAGGGGTGTAGAACCATCTACGATAGGCTGGGAACTCTCGCAATGACTTCAGAATTTCACGAATCTGTATGCGTAATATGCGGAACCTAAGCTCAGAGAGAACCACATTCCGACCAACTGAGAGAAGGGCCAGAGTGCATTTGCATTGTAAGCTAAGTAGGAGTTGTGCTCACCAATGATCTTCCTCTTTCCGCATCGTTTCCATTTCCTTGCGGCTGATGCTTTGCCACTTAGCCAGAGAGGCTTCATTAGGTAGTTGTTCAAATCTGATGATACACGAAATCGGCTTGTCAATCATATGCACGTAAAAGCTGATATTTCAGAACGGTGTATAGAGACTAGCTAATCGCAAAAATGATCTTCCCGAATTGCTGAATCCCAACGCGACGGGGTAGCATCGACTATACCACTACAGCTCATCGATTGACCGTTCTGCCATCCGATGGAGCATACGCGGTGAGCAAGTCATGTCACATGAGGATCTAGTGCGGCAGTGACTGAACTTCCATGCGACAGTGAAGCAGAGTTTCTCAACCCATCAATGGCTCACTCACGAACATCTACAGTGACGGACTGACGAGCTACTTACTTATACACAGTCTTGGGAAGCTCAATCGCAGCGCATTGACGAGCATGCTTCTCCCTCTGCACCAAACGGATGTTTTCCTCAACCTGAACTCCATATAGTTTCAAGTCCAAACGACGGCACGATCGCTCCTGTATATTAGACTAATGTCTTACCTGCTCAGCGAGGAGCTCAGCTAACCATCGGGATAGAAATTCATTCGACAGATTGTCCAGATTGAGTTCCAAAACGTCAAAGTCAGCTGACCACGGAGCAGGATCCACATCACTTGCCTCAACCGTGTGAGTGAGGACCTTTCATGGACTGTGGCAGACGTTATTGTTATAGGAGGTGAATTACCAGAGTGAGAACGCCGCTGCCATGGACAGCTACTCGAGACGTGAGTATTGAAGAAAGGCAAGTGCATGCTTCTATCATAGCCGAGGTCGATCCTTACAATGCAATCTTGTCGGTAGTGATCCGGCATAGGCCTACCTTCGTAGTCGCCAGCCCGTAATCGATCTTCTAGACAACGTACGTCGTCTGTAATAATGAGGAGTGATGGAGTACTCTGCAATGCTGCATCAATCGTGTCTAGAACCTGATTGGAGCTGATACCAGGAGAAGATCAACGAGTCCTCAATGAGCTACACAAAATCAACCAGACCGGTGCTTACTGCTTGCTGGCCCGTGGTCGCAGCGCACATGTCTACCACAAACACACCGACTCCGCGTTCCTGTATGGCTAGGCTCACTCCAGGCAACACATACCTGAGCCGCCACAGACTTGTGTTTCCATAACTAGAAAGACGCTTACTGCAGAATACTGGTGGGGTCGTCAGTCCTCAGGATTACTCCTGTAGTTGGCGATATAGCTCTACTGATTACCTAATGTAGCATTACATCAATATCGCTCTCTTGCTGAATTTTCTGTGCCGGAACTTCCCCGATCAAGGAAAACCATTTTCAGTCTGGCGAGCACTACCGTAGTGCCACTACGCGCTTTGTGCCCGAACGGAACAAAACAAAGTAACGCGAATCTAGTAACTGGGGTGCGATACATTTGCTGTACTGTTGCATTCTTCTCGGTATAATATACAGTCGAGCGCGCATTCCGCATCAGGTGGTGTACATAAATGGGCAAGCTGCTAGCTAAGCTGACTCAGTCATTATCGTCGAGGACATCAGTCATTATCGTGCCTGGAAGAGTTTCTGTGTCGGGCCTTGTTTGACAGGTCAAGCCTGAGTCAGCATACGTGGCAATACCATCCCATCCCTCCAGCTTACTTCGGAAGGAGACATCACAAATACCCAGTACTTTGGCTACGATCTCACTAATTGCTGGCTGTGCTCTACTGCTCCTTCCCAGTGTAGTTGGGACAAGGATCGTCTTCGGTGTCATTGTTTGCTACACAACAATGTTGTGACAACATCTCTCACGGTCTTGAACATACTGTAGTATGTAGCACATGGCGCTCTCGGTAGAAGTGGGTGTACATTTCAAAGTCTCGCTCGCAGAACTCATATCGTGCAACTGACCGACTGTCGTGGTTAGCCAAAGGCGACGGTCCTTCATGGAATCATCGACACCCTGCCCACTCAGTGAGCAGCACTGTTCACTCAATCAGCCAGTCAGTTCATCGTTTCATAACCCGACCCACCTGTATGCGAGTGGTGCAGACTCATATGCTCGCGATCTCGTTTAGACGAGTACGATAGCATAACCCCAGTAAATGGTAGTTTGCTCACCTTGGTCAAAACAACGGGAAATGAGGGCAATAGCAGGGTCTTCACCGGCCAGAGGTCCTTTCAAATTCCAAGCATCCAAGTGGTATGTTCCAAATTACGGAAGCCATTGTGCAGAAGTTTCAGGACATCGTGAAATGAAACGTTACTCGGAGACTTTTCAGTAAAATTTACTGGCTTATTTTCAACATATCGATTCTACGAATCGAAGTTGCGTAAGTCAACACTTGGCTCGAGCATGTTGACTAACATCTTGGACCTCTTTGTCCTACCTTCCGTGGCGACTCGGCAGAGACCTCGACACCAACTGAGTTGACATCTTCATTGCTTTCCTCCTGGCCAAGAGCTCGGAGAATCGTCGCGCAAAGACGAACGATTTGAGATGAAAAAAGTTTTGAAGTTAGCGGGGACGCCACCGCCAAACCTGAGAGAACCAGGCGATAGTAATATGTTGGCTTGAACTCTCTGTATTCTAACAATCCGGGAGACCACTCTATAATGGTTTGGATCACTCGCCTAGAGGGAGATGGTTGCGTATGGTCTTGAAATATAAAAGACATACAAGAGTCGCAAATTCAAAGGCTCACTCGCGCCATTGCCAGCAATGGTGGCATGTTGGGACCTCCTTCTAGTGCTGGGAACTATCTTCTTCAAAGCTGCGGTGAAGTCAAGTGGTGTAACGATCACATTGGACGCCGAGACCATCAACTTCTGACGAAGGGTTGACCCTGGAATGAGGACAAATGCTGATCTTCGCGAGCTTTGCAATACCAGAAATACGCCAGGTGCGAACGGCATACTCCAGTTAGCTCCATGCTAAACCGGCAAGAAGCAGATATTGTGCTCAGGCAAAATATCTTTCATTATTACTTTTGATCAGAACTTTTATTATTATACCGAGATATTTTTTATACCGCAGAGAAAATCCCGCCAAAGCTTAGCCCATCAGCAAACCATTCAAGACTCACTTCGCTTTGCGCCGTTCAAGTCTCCAGAGGTCTGTTTGATAGCTTCCTCGTATATTTGGGGATACGTCCTTCTGACCGCCATCATCACAGCCTCTTCGGTCAGAGCCTTCAAGTCTGCACCTACGACGATACCAATGCCGCATCATCGTATTTAATTACGAATTCATATTCACTATCATTGTTGAGGAAACACAAGTGTAAAAGATCACACGCGAGCTGTGCAGCAGACGAGGACCCCACCACTCTTATCGACTACGAATACAAAGGATGTAACGGATGTCAACTACGCCTTACCAGTGAAACCTGCTGTTCTCGAAGGATCACATATCCAAGCTGCTGTTCCCGGCGGCATCTGATCCGACCGCCACCTCCGAGTGTGGACCTCCAATACGGCACGACGATCCTAGTAAGGAGCAATCACGTCGTGAAATTCCAAGCTTGTGATAATCATCAACTTAGAACGATACAACAGGAAAATACAGTTCACTTTTCTCAACAGGAGAGTTCCGAGCAGCGGAAGACCGATATAGCCTATATCATATAGGGGGATACAACAGGAACTACTGGAACCGAGTATCACTAGAACTGATATATACAAGGACCGTACAATCACATCCTCAAACCGAAGTAACTCAAGGGTTGCTATAAATCCCAACAGTCTCCATCTTTCTCGTATACTCATACGGCAAAAGCGTGCATGTGAATCCTAATGAAGCACAGTCTCCCAACGTACTGCTGCTCCCCTAGGAGGGGAGAATCGCAACTCCTTATCGAAGCGTCCTGGCCGTCGTAGCGCTGGGTCAACGGCATCTGGACGATTGGTCGCAGCCAGCACGACAACACGGTCACCTAGTGCAACAGTAGATATACTGAATACCGTTGGTCGAGTGCTCCTCACCTCTCCCATCGAGACCATCCATGAGGGCCAACAGCGTAGCGACAAGTGAGCTGCTATGACTCGACCCTCCACTAGCTACGGGATCCGACGAATTCGCCCCACTGCAGCCTATGTTACAACATGGCTATCAGAGCAAACGAGACGACCTCACCAATACGGACTGGTGCTAAGCCATCAATCTCATCGAAGAATATAATGCTAGGCTGAGCCTTCCGAGCCTGGTCGAAAAGCTCACGAAGGAGCCTCTCGCCCTCGCCAACCCACTTCGATAAAACGTCCGCTCCCTGAGATATAGGGATCACGACCGTCGAGCGGAAACCAGCAATTTAATACGTAATAAGTAATATGATGCAGAGAGTGTATCCTTCTAAATCATACTGAGACGCCATTGGAATACACACAAAAAATATTCATGCAAACGCAGGATACTCTGGCTACTATGGTGAATCGAAGTGAATTCCAAAATTTAATGCAGCTTCATCTGCTCTCACCTTTCTCATGAAGAAGCTCACTTTAGCTCCCCCACCAAGACGAGAACAGCTGCCAGCCAGACACCTATCAAGTGGAGTTACTCTAGACCAATCATTATGCTCAATCTAACCTCGCCAATAGAGTCTTCCCAGTACCCGGTGGACCATGCAAGAGTAGCCCTCGTGGAGGGGATACACCCAGACCTTGGAACAGCTCGGGGTATATTAGAGGAAGAAGCACCTAAAGGAAACACAGTGTTATAAAACTCTGAGTCAATCTGAATTAACTCCGGATGAAACAAAATCGTAATGATACAGTTATGATGAAATTAATAGCAGTAACAGGAGAGCTGTGGTCGCTACTCGAACGCCAGTTTAACTAGAGAAGGCAGCATTGGAATATACATATGTTTGGGTTCCTCAGCTTGGCTCGGGGGTTTCCTCCGAGAATCATGGGAATTCACACATGTCTTGAGGTAGAACCGTGCAGAAAACAGCGAAAATTACTTAAATTCCCCCCACCAGAAGGTGTTGGACTAAATCCATGTTCGCTTTCCTCAGCTGGGCTCAAAGATTTCCGTAGTACTTACATGCGAAATCGGGTAGAAGTACACAAAAGGCGATGAGAAGTTCCCGAATTTGCCCGGAATTTCTCCTCGTCATCAACACATACTATGTATTGACGACGATGAGAAAATTGTAGGGGAATTTTAGTAATGTGTCACATAGTTGATCAGTGCATATCCCCCCCACACTGATAAAGAGCACAAGCTGGTCATACGTGCGATAAGGAGCCTTGCATCTTCTTGACAGGTCCTTACCGATTCCACAACGTGATGTATATGCCTCCGTACAGTCTCCCCTCCAATAGCATCCCAGCTATCCAGCTCGCTACAGTCGATGGTCTCATTGAGGAAGCTTATCCCTCTCCCTCCCGCTGACCCTCCTGTAGCCAGATTGGACTGCCCTATACGGCTTTCCAGTGGACCCGCCATATCTGAACAAACCACACCATTCAGAATATCTATTTCGCGGACAGGGACGTCAATTTCTGATATAATTCCCCTACTCCTCGAATTGGTGACCTCAATCGCGAAATATGTGTCCAGGTGTGGATACTAAGGAGGCTATGGAATAATGATACTCCCAAGAGGAACCTTCTTTGAAACGTGACACAATGTGCATGACAACGCGGATTTTAAAGCTTCTGGCAACGAATGTAATCAACCGATCTATTCCGTTCCCTCGTATCGTTGCTGTCTATTCCCACACAAAAGCCAAGATCGTTAACGAACCGACGGAAGTTGCCTCCATTTCCTCACCAGCTATGAGCTGCTCGGGTCGCTTAAGGAGAAAGTTCGTTTCAACTCTACTCCCTGTACCATCTTTTCTATGCCGCTTTCCATCACCATATCTGAGGTTCACCACAAAAAGATACAAAACAGGTCTGCAGGCATACCGCTCCTGTCACTATATTAATGAGCCACCGAACCACGAATGACAGTTCGCACGCCCTTCCTACTCCTCGCTAGAGTCCGTAGTATACCCAGCATCATCATCACTGTCATCAAGACGGTATCTATGTCGCCTTCGACTGCTACGTCTACGACTTCTTTCCCTCCGACCACGTCGTTTCGATCTGTGCTGTGCGCCTACGGATAAGCTACGCATTATGATCACACAGAAAGTCTATGGCTTTGACGGGGTTGTTTTTTGTAGAATCATGAAAGTCTCGGAGACTGTGATGAGTTTGGTGAACCTCGAGGTGCTGTTCAAGTAGTCAGGAGTGACGGAAATCTTTGCGAGGTTCATATATTTAGAATATTGTATAGGATGTTCCAATGGTGTGGTATGAGAATTATCAAACAAATTATGCTAGGCATCGCCGATGCCGCATCGGTTCACTTCTGTCCTGATATGGTAATGCCACTCACGTCGAATGTCACTCTCGCGCTGATGACTTGTCGATTTGCGAAGATGTCGAGGATGCACCGGCTCGGGTTCGAACCTGCGCGGGAAACTCGTCAACCTACCACTACAGACCACATTATCCACCTGTCAATTTCGACACGCTCTCTCTTGGGGTAGCGATGAGCATCTTGCTGCTCAGCCTTCACCTCGGCTGAACTCGCTGGGATCCCTGCCCGACGACGCTCCAACCTTCGAGCCCTCTCGTCCATCGCATCGGCCTGGTCGTGGTCTGAAGCCACATGGAGGGACAAATATCGAGGGAAAGACCGTTAGACGCAGAGACCGTCATTCTCGTCGGAATTATGGTATTATCAACACCATATTGTTACTATAACTTTCATTTAATACCGTACTAAATAGCAAGTTCCATATACGAGGAATATTGGGTATTTCTTTCACTATTCCGATACCTTTTACCGTGAACAAATGGAGCGAAGGACTCAAGAGACGAAGCCGATGGCCGCAGCCTTAGAGCAGATTGTTGCATCATGTATTGCTCGTTATTAAGGACCGCTTCAATTGATACCTTTTATCATCATCAATAAGGAATTCTCATATAATCATCTCAACTAACAGGATCTTGATTTATATACACATAAGGATGGTGCGCTGATACAGGAAAAGTCCGACTCCGCGACTCCAGGATGGTAACTGGGACCCGTCCCCGGTTCGAGGTTTGGTATCCCCGCATAACGGAAATAGATAGAACTGGTCAGCTCCCTATGAGAGCTGCCAGATAGTCGTCTATTTAGTGACTAGTTACTAGCCAGTGTTGGACTAAATCCGTGTTCGCTTTCCTCAGCTGGGCTCAAAGATTTCCGTAGTACTTACATGCGAAATCGGGTAGAAGTACACAAAAGGCGATGAGAAGTTCCCGAATTTACTCAGAATTTTCGTATTGTCAAGGACACAAGTAGTTGACCATGTGCACACCTTTCCCTGTGAGTCTAGCGCGAAGCATCAAAGGGGTGAGGAGACAACCTCACCAGTGCTGTTGCTGCTGCTGCTACTGCTGCTCTCTGAGGAATGCCCGTCACTCTCGCATTCCTCGTCTACCATTATCTGATAACACGCATCGATAAACCAAGAAGAGGAATAGTTCTGAATGAGACTGCAGAGAACTGCAAGGATGAATGAATAGGCTAAGCACACTCAAAGCAGCCTATTGTATGTTGGTCATCCCCATAACAGTACTAGTATGTTCGCGCTTTAGACTTACATCACGCTGGAGACCTCCAGTCGAGGCAAGTTTCTGGGCCTTCCGCCGAGGTCCGCTATCATCATCAATTGGCATTGCCACCTATAAGATTTTTTCTGGCGCAGCAGATAAGCGATTAACTCCATAATCCAAAAACCCAAGTTCAACCCCAAGCTCATGCAAAAATGGGCTTACCCTTTTCTGCATCACAGCAGCTCGTGGGGACCGACGAGGGCCGATGACAGAATCGTCAACACGAGGGGAGAGATTGACCGGTGAAGATCCGTGCGATGATACCTTAAGTGTGGTAAACCACTAGAACACAGCGGTGCACTTACTGAGCCTATCCCCGAGCTATTCAGCCGTAACGACCTGCGCCTAGTTGTTACTGTCATTAATAAATCACTACAACTAGCTACAGTATGAATCTCACAATAGTATCATCTGAACACCAGTGCTATACCAATGGTTGTGAACAAAACCGAAGAGTTCTCGTGGGAGACATCCGATGACTTCATTCGCATGAAATGTCTCATCGCTACTTTCCCTGCAGGAAGACTACGACACAGGTAATGTCATCCACAACATCTTCCTAACCATCAACATGGACTGGCATTCAGACCAGTTCCGATCACATTGGACTCCCATCGTTCTGATGCCTCTTTGACAACGGCTCTCGCTGCCTTACGGGAACTCTCTTGGTTGTAGTACCTACGACTCGAACACACCAACACTGTCCATCAACACTATCTAGGAACTATGGAATGTATTCCGCACGAAAAGAAATTTCCATCTGTGCCTCAAGGCAACGAGCCTTATGAAAATGACAGAGGCCGCCGAAAAGGGGAATGCTCATTGCCAAATCGCGGAGTAACGAGCCAAGAGGCGTACTTGGCCACGGTGTGGACAACCTCTTCGTTGGACATGAAATCCCAAACGCCATCGGAAGCAATGACCTGCATGAGGAATTCAACTATCTCATTTCGTGAAGGATGTTGAGAGCGAGACGCAATCGAGTATGACGCATTCGAAGCAAACAATTAACACATAGCTCCTGTAGCTCAGTGGTTAGAGCGACGGTCTTATGAGCCGTAGGTCGTGGGTTCGACCCCCGCCGGGAGTATTTGTGTCCTCGTAACAGGTATGTTGTCCAGTTCACTCACAATAAACTTATCCTTATTTGACGTATCGTGCTTGGATATCTCAGGTTCTGCGATCACCCCCGCGCTTGCTGCGATCGTGTCTCCAAAAGCCCTCGACATAGCAAGGCCCGGTAGGTCCTGGGAAGGATGAACCGACGAATCAGATAACGGCATTTCAGTTGACCTGATTCTTCAGCCACACTCGGCTCGGCCCCATGGGAATCCCGAGGACTCCTATACGGAAGGGCTCAACGCGACCACCCATCTTCGTGATTCTTCGGAGCTCATCTGTTCGCGCAAGTCCACGCAGCTCGATAAAGTTCATTAACCTGGTCACCAGGGCTGTCAGGTTTGTGGTCATTCGATAGTGGAACTGCATTCCAATGACCAACACCAGACCGCTGACCAAGTACGGCTCGCGAATCTCCAACGTTGGCACAGTATCTGCCGACTCGGAGGGTCCAGGCAGCGCCGTGACGGATGGACGCGAAGCGAGACCAGACCCACGGCACATTTTCGAGCCTTTGACGAATACGGAGATGCATGCGCTCCCACTGAGTGTGACGTCCTGACACAAGGCAGGATGCTTCAATGGGCCGATAAGTTTGTATGTTGAGCAACTATGTCCACTGATGGTGACACGACCAGGTGTCACGATCTGTCGGCCATAGGTTAATACTCTACGCCACCGGACGGCATAGAGATGTGCTCACCACATCCGCACTCAGCACCGTCTGATTGGTCTTCCTGAATGCCCTCTCTAACGCCTTCCGGGTGCTCACACTGGGAAATGTACCAATTGGTCAAAACAACCGTGCCAAGGACCTACCCCGTCCGAGCCAGCTCTCTCATCAGAGACTCTGGGAGCTGTCGACTGATCAAACCACTAACCTTATGGCCGTTCTCACCGTGTCCATCAGCTACACCGAAAAATGAACAGTGCAGAGCTCGATCCTGATACCTCCAGTCCAACAGCAAGATCCCTTACCCAGCCCACCTCGACAGCCCAATGAGAATCCTGATTCACTTTATGAGGGTTCACTGGTATCCTCCCAGTCTGACTAAACGCTGCATACTCAACCACTGGACCGCCGACTCCAGCTGATGCCGACTCGATCGGACCTTATCATCACACCTAGCCCGGGACACCCTTCCCTTTATACTTCCACCAATAAGATTATGATGCTTTCGCTCTGACCCCATCACCAAGCCGTCCGCCTCATATCTGTCGAGTACTCCGAGGTTGAGGATGCACGCATGCACAACTTGGGCTCACCCCATCTTTGGACTAAACTGACTGAGTCGTCTCCTCGCCGCATTGTGGGTCCCTGGCGCTCTTTCAGGCTCCCTACCACGCCGAGCCACTGAGGGGTGATCACTAAGGACTATATGCCGGTCGCTGCCCCCCCATGAGCACCGCCGCGACGAGGATTATAGTGATCTATTCAATAGGACACGCCGGGATGGATGGTAATTGATTGCAAACTTCCATGCCGAACATTATCATCAGTACATCCCATGGGAATATCAACCGGCCTGATGAGACTGTATTTTACCGTATACCTGTACAGCTCATACTTTCCAGTAAGTTCTGTCCAGGAGTGTCACTCTAACGGAGTGCGCCTAGGGGCCTCACGACAGAGAACTTTTTAGGGAATATAAGATGTACATGTTCATCATAGAAATTTCCTCAAGGTCCTCTATTGCTATCACAGGGATCGATCCCTACTGATCAACATACCGCCCATTAGACCAACTTTGAGACCCACTAAAAACACTCCTACAGTGATAGTGCATATAGTGGGTTATACCAACCATATAAGTCCTCACCTCTCGGAGCCTCAGGAGCCAATCGTCTTCTATCATCTTTAACCCCAGCCCGCATAAGACTCGATGGGGGGGGCAAACAATGTAGGAAGAAACAGTACTGAATATTCCACCTAAGCTTCTTTCCTTTCCTACAATGTTTAATCAGAAAGAAGATTCGCAATCCCGGGCCTCTAGCTCCATAGCGTCGACTAGGCCGTTTTACACTTCCACAACAACAGCCCTCGAAGTGAAGACGATGATAATACCCCATCCAACAGAGCCTCAACAAGCAGCTGCTTACACTCCACAGAAAAAACTTACTTAGTCCTACCTTGAAAAATACTCACTTATTTACTTAGGAAAATCCAACTTGACAGCAATTCACATTAGAAAAATATCCGATTAGGAAATTAATGATTAAATGATGAATTGATGATTAAATTAGTGATGATTAGGAAAATAAAGTGATAACAATATTCACCTTTTTAGTATTTAGGAAATTCACTTTTCACTTCGAGTAAAATGCAGTAGCGAAAACACCTCGGAGGTTTCATCATTACATCCTCTCAGTTACCCGAAAAACCCCATCCCCCGGGCTGTCCATTAACCCCACTCAAAGTCCACCACGTAATGGAAACGAATACGTGAGAATAGAAGTAGGACCCCTACCGTCGCTTCTGAATGCTCTTCCTAATAGAGGACGCCTTCGAGCCAACCATTGGTCCTACCACACCATGAGAACATCTTCCTCCACGCCACGCACTACCTCTATTCGCTCCCTTGTTGATAACAACACGCTTGCCAGCCTCCTTCTTCGCCATCAAGCTCGCGGTCGAGTTCATCTTCCCTTTCATGAGCCGCCTCGCGACACCTCCAGAAGTCGCCTTTTTCATTCCCGCTAACACCGACAATCTCCTGGCCGACTCCGACCGTTCGATGGAGGCTTCCTGTTGTGAAGTTACGAAGGCCTTGAGGTCCACTTCAAAGGCTCTGGAGGGACAGAAAAAGTATCATCATAATCCGATGATTCACTGGAAGTCGTGATGGATTCACACTCCTATAGGAATCTTCAGGTTCCCTCGTTAAGATTCAAAAGAGGCCCGAAAGTGTACCATCCCTTACTGGAGGATAGCTTGCGAGTATTTCGCCATGGACCTCCCTTTATCCGCCTCGACGAGCTTTTCCGCGGCTGCAAAGTGCGGCTCTCTGAAAAACACCAAGAAACGCAATTCCATCCTGCTCCAACGGGAACGTATACTCAACAGCCACGAACAAGTCCAAGGTCCTCGGTTCGAATCCCCGTGAGCACATCTACCTCTTCATGAAATCCATTGCTTGACGTAACAACACCGGATCCCGTGACGCCGTAACACCAAGAGCAGCCAACACCCGGCGAGTCGACCTGAAGTTACCACTCAAAATAAACCCGCATCCCAACAAGGAGGGAGCGACAATTTATGATATTATAGTTTCTCGCAACCTCCTCGTTTTCAACACCAATATTATACTATAGTAGTAATATTATCGATAGGTGAGACATACAATAATAGTAATACTATACTGGACGGCAAACGCAAGGCAAGCAGTGACATCTCTTCATCCATTTATCATGAATGATTTATGTAACCACGGTGGTTAAACCATCGGAGGGCATCCTCCCAAAACATGGAGACAGGCCACAACCGAGTCGCCAGCATATTTACTCACAAAGGCCATCATGGCTGGCACGTGGTAACCAAGATACCCCGCTAGAAGGAGGCATGCGACGGTGAATTCTAACCCACTTGAGTGACTTCACGACTTACATTGATATCAGCTGTACAACCGTGGCAACACGTGTTATCTCAATGCTATCCTGCAATGCCTATACAATTGGCCGTATTCGCTCAAGTTATTGACGACATACGACCATATACAATACACAATAAAAACGGTTCTACTTCTATGGGTTCAATCACCCGACTGGTCGGATTCCGAATTTGACGAATGGTAACGGACATTGTACAAAGACCGCACGAAGCGCCCTGTGAAACGGACTTGAGACACTAACTATATTATCGGATAGTCAACACTACCCAAACTCTCCGCAAACAAGTTGCCTTAAGACATCCCAACGTCGAGGTCGATTGTAATTGTCAGATGATGGCCGACCTCGTCGGTTGTCCCACCAGCCGAAGCTGACGTTGTCGAGCACGAAACAAGCATGCTGAAAATAGCAACCAAGGGTCGCGGCCAGGGAGTATTGAGTTTTCACGATGTTGGCGATTGGTCACGAGCCCAGTCGAGACCCAACTGGTTACAATTCGTAACCTGTTGTCTGGAGATGTTCGAATGTTTCGACGCGGGTGCTTTTGATGCGAGTTGGAGCAAGTTGGTCGCCGGGGTGAATGAGTGCGGGCTGGAGAGGGACGGGCTTCTAGACGACTCGGGGGTCAAAGGCTTTGCCGGTACCTTAGACTCACGGGTGCAACGATGGATGAACAGGAGCTGCAAATATGCTGCGAGGCTTGATCGCTGCCTTTCTATTCCCAGCCTTCCCCCTCACGTCCATTGGGGAGTGAGCCATATTGTCTCCTCTCCAGAAGTCCGTACGCTGTTCTGCTAGAGATCTATCATCGTCAGACCTTGGACCAGTAGCACCATACTTGAGTGGCGAGAGGATTTCAGGACTCTCTACCCTGCTAGCAGGTCGGTGCACATCGCCGGCAATGTCGAGGGAGGAGCCGGTGCGGGTGGCATCATTAGCCCAGAAGGGGAACAATGAAATGTTATAATATTGGATGGTCCCCATTAAATGGGGTATACCGTATAAATTATACTACTTATGAATCTTATCACGGTTTATATGTTATTACATTAATACTTTATTTCAATATCAGCCTATTTTTCATAGAGCAATGTTCGGAAATTTCCTTTGGTTGCTCGGAAATTTCAACTAATGCGATTACACACTGGGTAATCGGGTCGGTGAATCAAACGTCCGAGATTACAGACATTGATGTGATTTCGCCGAGCGGAATCTGCTCTTAGATAAACCTCACGGCACTACAGTAAGAGACAAATGTACGGGGACGACCAAGGATGGTGACCATATACGATAACACCAGTAGTAGTCCTCCTAGGGGGAGCAACCTCCCCTCCCTTACCCCTGCATAAGTTGGACATTAAGCCTCGCACCATCGTAACCATAGTCAACGCCGGATGAGGAACCAGATGTAACGGCCTCACCAGAGGTAACCAGCACCTATTGAGGATAAAATGACGGGTGCAGGGATCGAACTCACGCCCTCCCCATAACCATAACTCTCACAAGATACAGTTGAGGCCCTTTCCCTTACACTAGCGAGCTGACCAACATCCAGATCGGGTTTGGATGGAGTTCCTCTCTTGGACGCCTTCCTACTGCGGTTCTTATTACCCATCAGGAAAGATACTAAACTGACCTTAGAAATGATCGAGCCACGGAGACACACATATCTTAAAACCAATACCACTCCTCCCTCAACCTCCCCTCAATCACACCGTAGCACACTCTCGAAAACCTACAACACCACTCCCCTTACTAAATCCAGTGCCTGCTAATCCAACACACTACTGCAGATCAAAAACCCATACCACTCCTCCCCGAACTCCAACTCAACTCCATCACATTCAAACAGCATAACAGAAACGTGTCCAATTACTCATCCAACGATCACAGGCCAAAAACTCTCTTCAAAAAGCCTTTCTCCCTCTTCTCCCTTTTAGCCTCTTCTAATAGGAATTTCTCCTCGACTTCCCGTTTTTTCGCAATTCTATGCAACATATCCTTTTTCTGCGATTCCCACGAAGCCGGCAACAGGTCTAAGTACGCCCTATACTCCCCTTTCTTCGCTACCTGCAGTACTTTTATAATCTTCTGAATCTCGCCGGCCTCAAATTCGTCCTGGAATTTATGTATATACGCCAGAAGGCGCCCCAAGCGAGATCCATCCCTCATCCACGCCACGAAATTTCCATCCGCATCTTCCGGCCTTTCCACATTTTTCTCAATCGTCTCGGACTCTATCAAACCAAGTAATATATAACACGCGTCCGCCGAACTCATCTTGCTAACGTTCGTAACATTATCCTCAATTCCAACAACAAGCTCACTACATAACCGATCACCTAATCGATTCACCAATTTCGCTATATCCACTCTATCTTTCACTTTCCCCATCTGCTCACTGCACTGTGCCAACCTAGCGAACTGTGCCGACCCCATATACGCCACGCTCGCCTCCAACACCGGAGCTATATCGTCAACTATTTTCTCCAGGGCATCACATTTACAATATATCCATATTAATCTCACTAAATATCTCGGTGTGATATCATTCCGAACATGCTCTTTCTCATGGAGTATCTTTGCCAACCGATCAAGATATTCCTCATGGTAGATGCCCAATCTCGCCAACGCCCAGGCGATCGATATGTGACTCACCAACGGTATGGTCTCTCCCAGATCATCAAGTCTATGCTCCAACTCAGGTAACACACATTGCATTATAGGTAAATCCATATTAATCGTCTTATCCGTAGCCGCCGAGTCAGCAATCGCCACTATTATATCACACACCTCCGCGGTGTCATATCTGTCAGTGTGAAAATACAACTTTGCTTTCCTCGGCTGAGTTTACTCACAACACTCGCAAACCAAGTAAAATTTCCCACGAATCTCCTCAAAATTTATATTTTGTCACCAACACATGTAGTTGACCATGTGCATACATCCCCCCTCCAAAAACACCGTCCGGACTGCATCCACATCACAATGAACTGAGAATTTCTCCCACTACTATTACTATGATAAACACTTACTCTAGTAACCGAAGCCACATCCTCGAGAATTCAATTACCCACTAATTCTGTGATAATTCACGACCATTACCGCGCGCCACAAAATTCCTCCCATATCAGCCTACCTCTCCATAGCTTCCTTCAGTCGCGGTATCAATATCTCTCTCACCGGATACCCTTGATTCGTCTCCTTCTTCTCAATTTCGCGCCGCGCGAAAGTTCTCACCAAGCCGATCAAATTCAGCGCACTATAATCGTTTATAGTTTCCTATAAATCCATTCGGAAACTCATCCGCATCTCATCAGCCTCTACCTTGATTCTCTCAGTCAGCATATCGAACAGCTCCGTATCGTCTGGGAATAGAGTCTGGCAAGCCGGAAGGATATCAACCTAATTAATACCAAACACATCCGGTCCACCACTGAACGACGAAGATAAAAAAATCAATCTCAACCGAGTTCATACCACACCAACAGCAACTCGCAGCACACCTCTTCCAACAAACAGCACACAAATAGCCCCACTTAACAAACTGAGACCCTCCTCTATTACAATCTCGATAGCCGTGAAAGCCACCATTCTCGACTTGATCATCTCCGCCAAATACTCCATCAAAGGCCCATTGCCACTCGTATCCCTCCTGTAGGTGTATAAAGCGTACCCACGGGCCAACTGAGTCAGCTCGGCCGGAGTATATGTCTGAGTTGGAAATCATCACAACCAACCATCGTAAAATATCCGGGGAAAACCGATTATGAACGATTATTTGGGAAATAATTACGAACGATTATGATGTCGTGCCGGGTTTTCCCCATCTACTACACCTTTCATCGACACCAACCCCCTCCTATCACTTTGATATTAAATCTGATACAGTTCTCCATATGCGGTATCAACGTCTCCTCAATGAAGTCCTCAGGGAGCCTCGACGGCATCACCAACGCCTTCGTCTCCTCAGGGGACATAACCTTCCGGACCCTAACAACACCAAACAAGAGTGTCAATACTCACCCCACTACCAAGGCCAGAGTAATTCCATTATACGGACAAATTTCAATGAACAAAGATTCCATTGTCATCGACATTGCGACAAGATGTGCTACTCTACAGCGATTGAGATCAACAACTCATCTACCCAAATCACATATACGACCTTTCGGACCTCATCCGTATCTTCCACTCCTAACCTCAAGATACCCTTCCTCCCCCATCACTACCGCTTAGTCCTCTCAACCACAGCCTGCCTATCAGCCCTCAGCTCCTCCGACAGCTCAGCCCCCGCCCATTCCGCTCCTCCTCGACTATGATGATGATGATCATGGGAATGCCATCGCTTGCTCACAACGCAGCTTCTACTCGACGCCCTATACCAACTTCTCAACAACATCCGATTAAAAAACTCTAACAAAAACCTCCCGCGCGCCACGAAATTCCCTCCACAACTCTTTCCCCCCTTCCTCTAGAAACACTCATTTCAACGTAGACTGCTGCTGCTGCCCGAACTTGACCCCACTAACTGGGCACACTCTCAAAGTAGGATCAGCACACTGTATGTGAACACATATGTTATTGGGGTATACCACGAACGGTCTCGAAGACACATCTCCGTCACTCGCCACAAATCTCCGGTTGCATATAGGGCATGCTCTCTCCTCCGACATCACAACATACCTAATACTAACCACAATCACCAGCATCTATACGAAAGCGGAGTTCAACTCCTTCGCCGCTTGGAACCTCCCAGGTTCCATCCCGGAGAAAATCATTTTTAGTGACAAATTATTGCTCCGCATATACTCATCGATATCCGAGATCATCACAACAAGGCGTTACGAAAGGCCCGAATGGTCTCTTATCATTCTTCGAGGTGTCATTTTCAATCATCCTCGCATTCCACGAATCGACTTTAAAATCAACACCATCGTCCATATCTCATCCAATACCACCTTCCCCTCTCTTTCTGCCACTCCGAGCATTCTTCCAAGAACACCGATCCCATCATTTTCTCCGCAGCCATCACAGTTCCCTCAGCTGTCACCGGCGTAGACACACATGCTGATCGTAGGTATCTACTCAATGAACAAGATACCCACCGATCAGGTAATCATCCAGGAACCTAGAACGCTCCTAGGAGGATATCATTTTGATTTTCCGACATGGCAAGACATTCAATTTCGATGCATACGTCACATTAGGGGCGTTTCATCAACTGCTATCAAACCCTGGAGATTCAAATCATATCAATCACTGCCACTACTGCATCTCACACCCTCACGAAAAACGAGTTCGCCACTACCAATGTTAGAGGAGTATATTTTCACTCTCCTCAGCTGAGCTCACAATGTTCTTCACCAATTATAAGAGTAAATATACTAATTACGGTAGGAATGTACAGAAACTAATCAAAAT